ATGTCAAATGTTCGATTTTATGCTGCTTTGGTCTTTCACATCTTGAAAAATGTTGTTGAAAGTTTATATCTTTGTAGATAAGCTCTTGTTGATGGCCTCCTCCGGCGAATCCTCTATCTAGAGCTGGTCGGAACAGTAACGAGAACCGACTGAAATTAATGCATGCACTACATGGTTTCCATTTCTACCAATAAAATTGACCGTAGATAAGCTCTTACATTGATAATGGGGATTTGGGCACCAAAAGTGAAGACAATGCCCATTTGTAAAAGGACCCTTCTCTAATGTTGGTGCCATTGAATTCTTTGAAATCTTCTTGTCACAGAAATGCTTTCCCAATGGCGGCGTTCGATAGCTTATCCTCTAGCTTCCTCTCCTCCCTAGCGAACGCAATTAACGAGAACAACTCGATCGTTGTGAGAACTGACTGGATTCCTTCGCGTCTGGCTATTTAGGGAGCTGTCGGGATGGCTTTGACATCCATGAATCGAGATAGCAGTTGATTTGATCGGTGGAGGGAGACGAAGAAGAAATAGAAATGGAAGCGACGATGGCGGAGTTGTGTTTTCTGGTGATGTCAAGGGTTGAGATATGGAGGAAGAGAGGGAGGCGCGTGGTGTTACCTCCTTGTCCTAGAGAGGGTTTTGCGGCGACGAGACTTGCAGCTCTCGATATCGTGACGACCATCATCTCCAATTCTGATCTTGAGTTAATGAGCAAATGGGTGTGTTTAGAGAAAAAGAATGGTTTTTAGAGATGGCTTTTGAAAGAAGGGATGAAAAGGATGGTTTCTCTCTCTTTCCCTTTTACGATCAATTACGATTTTTGACTTTAAAATGTAATTTTTAAATATTAATATTTATCTATGTTGCTGATAAAATAAATCATATCATAATGATGTTATAAAATTAACCGTGAATAATTAAAAAATTTAATATTTAAAATTAAGTAAATAAATTTAAAAATTAAAAATTAAAAATTAAAAAAATGATAAATGAAATAAGAGATAAAATAAAGTAAGTATAATTTACCAAAAAAAAAATTATGCATCTACAAGATGACACTATAGACTATAGTTGGCTAGTTGCTGACAGCAGCCTTTGTCTTTATTCAATGAAATTCAAATTGATTTTAAAAAATAAGGAAGAAAATATCCCTCCCCCCAAAAATGAAAAAGCAACAACCAAGTCCTGCCAAACACTATGGTGCTTTTGACAAGTCTTCCATTACTTATATTCATCACAGTAATACAAGAAGAAGATGAAGAAGAAGATGAAGAAGAGGATAATATATGATTGTTTGTTTTACAATCGCTCTCTTAATCTTTTGTTAATTTTCAGATTGTGGAATTGATCAATTTAATATTAAAAGGAAGCCGCCTGAAATTGTTGCTAAGTTGACCCCCATATAAGAAAACAACCGAGGAAGATGAAGGGAAAGAGAGAAAATCGTAGCAATTCAGTACTTGAAAAGAGTTCATACTTTCTAGCTTTCTTCAAATCTCTCTCCCTTTGATTCTCTGGTTTCCCTCCACGAGAATGGAGTTTACAAGCAAAAACCTGCTAGTTCCATGTCTCTTCTTCTTCATAGCATACCTTGCTATCCCTGTTGCCTCCGACACCGGTGTAACCCCTTACAGCCCCATCGAAAACATCACCATCGACTGTGGTTCTTCCATCGACGATAATTCTCTCGACGGCCGTCCTTGGGAGGGAGATGTCGGAAAATTCACCCCTTTAGACCAACAAAACAATAACAACCAATCATCCACGGCTTCAACAGCACGTATACAAAACTCAGTTGAGAGTGTTCCCTACTCCACAGCCCGTCTTTCTCACTCCGAATTCACCTATTCGATTCCCTTAACCTCCGGTCAAAAGTTCATTCGCCTGCACTTCTACCCGGAATCATATCCAGGCTTTGACGAACCTTCTAGGAAATCTTTCTTCTCTGTCAAAGCAGGTCCGTACACCCTTCTCAAGAATTTCAGCGCTGTACTCCATGCGCAAGCGCAAGGCCGAGCTACTGTGGTCAAAGAATTTTGTTTAAACGTAGATGGAAGCCAAAGGCTAAACTTAACCTTCACCCCAAGTCCCGATATCGCTGATTCCTACGCTTTCATCAATGGGATTGAAGTTGTTTCCATGCCGACCGATCTATATTATACACCGGACAGTGCAGCAGGGGTGCCTTTTATAGGCCAGGCTGAGGGAACCTTGTTCTCTGTAGGAAACAACACTTCCTTCGAGAGTGTGTATCGAGTCAACGTCGGTGGGAAGGAAATATCGCCGGGACAAGACACTGGGATGTTCCGGCTCTGGTCTGACGACGACGACTATTTGACAATAGGGAACTCAGAAGTTCTTCCCGTTAATACCAGAGCTAATCTCACCTTCGGCAATACACCATCGTTCTCGGCTCCAAGGGAGGTTTATGTCACTGCCAGAACCATGGGAATGAACAAGACTGAAAATGAGAACTACAATCTGACATGGGAGTTCCGTGTTGATTCTGGGTTCAGTTACTATGTCAGGTTACATTTTTGTGAGTTTCAGACGGAGATAACTCAACAAGGTAACAGAGTCTTCGAGATCTTCTTGGCTAATTTAACTGCAGAAACTCAAGCAGATGTTATAGTCTGGAGTTCTGGATATGGGTTCCCAGTGTATAGGGACTATGTTGTGGCAATGGCAACAAGGGGAAATCTAAAGCAACAAAATCTCTCTGTTGCTTTGCATCCTGCCCCGGAATGGAGGACTAATTACTCTGATGCAATCTTGAATGGACTAGAAATCTTCAAATTGAGCAATAATATGGATCTTTCCGGACCGAATCCGGATCCGATTCTGATAAATCCTCCAGAGAATTCACCACCGGGATCAACCAAGTCCAACAGCAGCAGCAAAACAACAATTGGTATCGTGGCAGGTGTGATAGGTGGCCTAATTGTTATGTGTCTCATTTGTTTCTTGGTTTTCCGGCGAAAGAGAAGAGTCAAAGATTCAGGCTCCAACGACGGAGCTTCATGGTGGAGCCAATTTTCCTACACAACCAAATCAACCAAGTCAACAAAGTCCCGTGGTTCATCCCTACCATCCGACTTTTGCCGCTACTTTTCACTTGCTGAGATCAAAGGGGCAACCAACAACTTCAACAGTGTTTTCATTATCGGTGTCGGTGGTTTCGACAACGTATACAAAGGGTTTATCGATGGCGGAGCAACCCCGGTCGCGATCAAACGGTTGAATCCAGAGTCTCAACAAGGGGCTCACGAGTTCAAGACCGAGATCGAGATGCTCTCCCAGCTACGCCACCTACATTTAGTCTCGTTAATCGGATACTGCAACGACGATGGTGAGATGATCCTCGTTTACGATTACATGGCTCGTGGTACACTTCGTGATCATCTCTACAACACCGAAAACCCTGCTCTCCCATGGAAACAACGGTTAGAGATTTGTATCGGTGCGGCTCGTGGGTTGCATTATCTTCACTCGGGTGCCAAGCACATAATCATTCATCGAGACGTCAAGACCACAAACATTTTGTTGGATGAAAAGTGGGTGTCTAAAGTTTCAGATTTCGGGTTGTCAAGAGTCGGCCCTACCAACATGTCCCAGGCACATGTTAGCACAGTGGTGAAAGGCAGCTTCGGGTATTTGGACCCAGAGTACTATCGTCGTCAACAGTTGACAGCGAAATCCGATGTATATTCATTCGGTGTGGTCCTATGTGAAATATTATGCTCCAAGCCACCTATTAGTCGATTGGTGGACAAGTCAAAGATCAGCTTAGCAGCATGGGCTCAACAATGCCACCGAAGTGGAACACTTCACAAAATCATTGATCCATTCTTGAGGGGTAAGATTGCACCCGAGTGTTTGAAAAAATTCACCGAAGTGACGATGAGTTGTTTGCACGACGAAGGGTCCGAAAGGCCCTCGATGGGCGATGTGGTGTGGGGACTCGAGTTCACACTACAATTGCAAGAAAGTGGCGAGGCGAAGCTTAAACCTGAAATCGATGGGACTTCCATAGAAGCGGAGTTTGATGAGGAGACCCCCTTGAAAGGATTGGAAGATGACAGCGGCGACGTTTTCAGTAGCCTCGGCGATCATGTTCTCAAACCCAATAGCACCGGCAGTTTCAGTTTAACAAGTGATAGTTTTGCCAGCAAAGATTCTGATAGACCCTTGTCTAAGGCAGTTTTTTCAGAGATTAGAAATCCTCAAGGACGATGACCAAGTAAACGGTCCAATTTCAACTGCTAAAGCTCCCCTGATATTTTTATATATTTTTATTTGAAATCAATAAAATATTTGTATTGTAGCATACTTTATATATATATATATATATTTGATTTCAAGTTAGGTTTGATGCATCTCAAATGCTTTACTTTATGGCTTTGACCAGCTTTGTCCATTTAAAAACGATGTTAATAATTGGGGGTGGTTGGAACTTAACAAGTGCTAAAATCAATTTGAACTACGACCATTCTGCAAATAAGAAATCAATTAATCAAATAATTATCTCCATAATTTTCTTTTAAATCTTAATTTCTAATTCTCAAAATTAATCATTTATCATTATTTTGATATAAAAGTTTTATATATTCATCTTTCTAACATAAAATCGTACCTCTTCCTAATCGCATGCGATAGACATGATTGTACATCTTCCCTCCGCAATTTTCTGATCTTTTAAAACCTTTATTTGCCGATGGATTGCGCGAGTAGGCGCCGGTCTTATCACGATTACAAGCTTTTCGTCTCTACTGCAAGTCTAATCTCAAGTCTTGATTTTGAGTTCCTTCGTTTGGTTCGCATTAGTGGGCAATATGCTATACTCATTTTTCATCATCATTTATACACTGGGGTTAAAAACTAACTGAAATCACATCTTAAGACCCTACACAATAATTCATGATTTTTTGTGCATTTACCATCATCAAAGCAAACAGTTAGATTGTACATAAAAGTGATGCCTCTTCACACATAAATTCACCTTGCGGATTTATACTCTCCATTTAACGTCGCCTCCACCTCACCCATTGTAGGCCTTTTGTTTACCTCAAACTGGACACAACCATAAGCAATCTCCAAGAATTTCTTCAAACACGGTTGAGCTATCTTTCCCTTTAGATATGGATCAATTATACTGTAAATTTGTCCATTCTCAATGCATTTACATGCCCAATGATATAGAATTCGTCGATCCATCTCCAATTCTGCATCAAATACGCGTCTACGACACATAACTTCAAACAGAACAACCCCGAATGAGCAAACATCAGATTTGTCCGATACCCTGCTGGTTATTACTACCTTCGGATCCAAGCATGCAAAAGTATAAGTTATGTCTGATTCTACTTCAATGGAAACTATACCCCTTAATAGGCTAAGAGGCCCCCTCTTGCAGAAACCGAAATTGCAGAGTTTCGAAGTCCATTGGTTGTCCAGAAGGATGTTCTTGCTACTGACATCGCGATGGATTAGTACAAACTTTGCTCCCGTATGAAGATAATGCAAAGCTCGAAGTAGACCGATGCATATCTCCAGTCTTTGCTTCCATGAGATGGGATCATAATTCTCTAAATGGAGATTATCATGAAGGCTCCCATTATTTACATATTAATATACATGGATCATCTCTTTCTTCTCGTCGCAGAAACCGATGAGAGAGAGAATATTCGGTGGCGTAACTGGCAGAAAATCTTCGCCCTACATCTCAACTCCACGAGCGGTAGGTGTGAATCGTGTTGAAAATTCTTTTTAATTCCACCGAAAGATTGCATAGATTTGGGGCACCGAAAGTAGCTATTTTTTTGTCAAAAAGTGGCATCAAATTGTCGAAATAATAAAGGGAAAATTACAAACTTTAGTCATTAAACTTTAGGGTATTTATAAGATTAGTCCTTAAGCTTCAACTATAAATACCCTAGCTCATATAGCTTCAAAATCATCCCAAAGCATTCTAGCTTTCTTCCAATACTAGAGAATTTAGAGAGTTTCTTGAGAGTTGTTTTCTCCTTTTTATCAAGAGAGAATTATCATTGTTTTCTTCTTGGTAGATCGAGAGAAGTTGTAATTCTATTTTCTCATAGTGAAATTATTCTACCGTTGCCGTGGTTTTTATCCTATATTATTTAGGGGTTTTCCACGTAAATTTTGTGTCTCTTTTATCTTCATTTTTATTTTCTCAAATTATCAGTTGTGATTTTGCTCTATTCGATAGCTGTCTTCCGCAATAATTGGTATCAGAGCCAGATTTGAGTGTGTAATATCTACTTATTGTCTTTGTGATTGCCACCAAAAGGTGGATCCTCTAACATAAGAAAGTAAGAAGGTATTACCCATTCTTTGAAGGTTCCAGAGAACTATTCACGATAGTGAAATAGTGAGAGCTATCCGTAATAGAAGCTATGGCAACGAAATTGATATTGAAAAATTCAATGGGAGAAATTTCTCATTGTGGAAATTAAAAATGAAGGTCATCTTGAGGAAAGACGATTGTCTAGCAGCTATCAGTGAAAGACCGATGGATTTCATAGATGACAACAAATGAAACGAGATTGACGGAAATGCTATGACAAACTTTCATCTAGCATTAGCAGATGAAGTATTGTCAAGCATCGAGGAGAAAAAGACAGCTAAAGAGATATGAGATCATCTCACTAAATTGTATGAGGCCACATCGTTGCACAATAAAATTTTCCTTAAGAGGAAATTGTACACTCTCCGTATGCCAGAATCTACTTCAGAGACGAAGCACTTAAACACACTGAATACTTTATTTTCTCAACTTACATCCTTAAGATGTACAATAGGAGAACAAGAACGTGTTGAGCTTCTACTTCAAAGTCTACCTGATTCGTATGATCAACTCGACAAACAGTAATGTCACCAGTCTAGTCTTCGATGACGTTGCAGCTGTTGTTCTCCAAGAAGAAAATCGGCGCAAGAACAAGGAAGACAGACAAGTAAATCTGCAACAAGCAGAAACATTGACAACGATGAGAGGGAGATCAACAAAACGTGGCCAAAGTAGCAGTCACAAACATGGTAGATCGAAGTCGAGGAGCAAGAAGAATTTAAAGTGTTACAACTGTTGAAAGAAGGGTCACTTGAAGAAGGATTGTTGGAGTCTAAATAAAAACTCCAATCCACAAGGCAATACCGCAAACACTTCAGATGATGGAGATGCTCTATGCTGTGAAGCGTCAACCACCATGGAAGGCAGAAAAAGATCTGCAGATATATGACTCATTGATTCGGGAGCAATATATCACATGACCTCAAGAAGAGAATGGTTCCATCATTATGAACCTGTCTCAGGAGGATCTGTGTATAATTGCAATGATCATGCCTTAGAGATCATTGGCGTGAGAACCATCAAATTGAAGATGTATGATGGAACAATTAAAGTTGTTCGAGATGTGCGGCACGTGAAAGGTCTAAAGAAAAATTTATTATCCTATGGATTGTTGGATAATAATGCAAGCAAGATTAAAACACAGAAAGGAATCATGAAGGTGTTCCGTGGAGCGCTTGTGGTGCTGAAAGGCGAAAAGATAACTGCAAACTTGTACATGCTGAAGGGAGAGACTTTGGTAGAAGCAGAAGCCTCTGTTGCCTCATGTAGTTCAAATTCTGCAATGCTATGGCATCAGAAACCTAGACACATGTCAGAACAAGGAATGAAAGTCCTTGTGGAGCAAAAGCTACTTCCAGGCTTAACAAAGGTATCACTTACTTTGTGTGAGCATTGCATAACAAGTAACCAACATCGGTTGAAATTCAACACATCAAATTCTAGAGGCAAAAGTGTTCTAGAATTGGTTCACTCTGACGTATGGCAAGCACCAGTTACATCCCTAGGTGGAGCAAAATACTTTGTCTCATTTATTGATGACTACTCTAGGAGATGTTGGGTGTACCCTATTAAGAAGAAGTCAGATGTGTTTTCAACTTTCAAAAACTTCAAAGCGCAGGTAGAACTTGATTCTGGAAATAAGATCAAGTGTTTCAGAACAGATAATGAAGGAGAATACACAAGCGAAGAATTTGATGACTTTTGCAGGAAAGAAGGTATCAAAAGACAATTCACAGTGGAGAACACTACTCAACAAAATGGAGTGGCAGAGCGGATGAACAAAACCTTGTTAGAAAGAACAAGAGCCATATTGAGGGATGCAGGCCTAGAAAAATCATTTTGGGCAGAAGCAGTCAATACCGCCTGTTATTTGGTGAATCGAGCTCCATCAACTGTAATAGAGCTGAAGACACCAATGAAGATGTGGACTGGTAAACCAGCTGATTATTCAAACCTCCATGTATTTGGAAGTATTGTATATGTGATGTACAACTCCCAAGAAATTTCAAAGCTAGATCCAAAATCCAGAAAATGCAAATTCTTGGGGTATGCTGATGGAGTAAAGGGGTATCGCTTGTGGGATCCTACTGCCCGCAAAGTGATCATTAGCAGGGATGTTATCTTTGTAGAAGATAAACTACAAAGAAAAGAAGACGATGATAGCACTGAAAAGTCAGAGACTACACAAATACATGTGGAAAAGGAGGTTAAACAAGAAGATTCTTCTGAAACAGAACCAGTACATGATGAACAAGAACCAGAGAGTTCTGAAGCTCCAACAACTCGTCAATCAGATCGTGTGAGAAGACGTCCCAATTGGTACTCAGATTATGTTATAGAAGGTAATATTGCATACTGCCTTTTAACAGAGGACGGTGAACCATCAACATACCAGGAGGCAATAAACAACTCAGATGTTTCACTATGGATGATGGCGATGCAAGAAGAAATCGAAGCCCTTCATAAAAATAATACATGAGACCTTGTGCCACTACCACAAGGAAGGAAGCCAATTGGTAACAAATGAGTCTTCAAAATCAAGCGAAAAGGTGATGATCAAGTTGAGAGGTATCGTGCAAGAATGGTGGTCAAAGGTTATGCTCAAAAAGAAGGTATTGATTTCAATGAAATATTTTCTCCTGTGGTTTGACTAACAACAGTTCGAGTAGTTTTGGAAATGTGTGCTACATTGGACTTACATTTAGAGTAGCTAGATGTTAAAACAACTTTTCTTCATGGAAATCTTGAAGAAGAAATTTATATGCTCCAGCCTGAAGGTTTTGAAGAAAAAGAAAAGAAGAACTTGGTTTGCAGGTTGAACAAATCTATGTACGGTGTAAAGCAGGCACCGAGGTGTTGGTATAAGAGATTTGATTCCTTCATTATGTGCCTTGGATACAACAGACTTAATGCTGACCCTTGTGTTTATTTCAAGAGGTCTGGTGATAATGATTTTGTTATATTGTTGTTGTATGTGGATGATATGTTGGTTGCAGGACCCAACAAAGATCATATTGAAGAACTGAAGGCACAACTGGCTAGGGAATTTGAAATGAAGGACTTGGGATCAACAAACAAGATTCTAGGGATGCAAATTCACCGAGACAGAAGTAATAGGAAGATTTGGCTTTCACAAAAGAATTATTTGAAGAAGATCTTTCCACAATTCAGCATGCAAGATTGTAAGCCAATTTCTACCCCTATTCCTATTAACTTCAAATTATCCTCCAGTATGAGTCCTAGCAGTGAAGAAGAGAGGATGGATATGTCTCGAGTGACTTATGCATCGACAGTGGGAAGTTTAATGTTCGCTATGATATGCACAAGACCAGACATTACACAAGCAGTGGGAGTGGTTACTCGGTACATGGCGAATCCAGGAAAAGAGCATTGGAATACAGTAAAGAGGATCTTAAGATACATTAAAGGGACCTCAAATATTGCATTACGTTACGGAGGATCAAACTTACTAATCAATGGGTATGTAGATTCTGAATATGCAGGGGATTCAGATAAAAGCAAATCTACAACAGAATATGTGTTCAAAGTTGCTGGTGGAGCTGTAAGCTGGATTTCAAAATTGCAGTCAATTGTGGCTACATCCACAATAGAAGCATAATATGTAGCAGCTACACAAGCCAGTAAAGAAGCAATTTGGTTGAAGATGCTATTGGAGGAGCTTGGGCACAATCAAGAGTATGTCTCTATGTTTTGTGACAGTCAAAGCGCCTTGCATTTAACAAGGAATCCAACATTTCATTCAAGGACAAAGCACATACGACTTCAGTACCATTTCATTCTTGAAAAGGTAGAACAAGGGACAGTAGATATGTAGAAGATCCATACCAAAGACAACATAGCAGATTTCATGACGAAGGCGGTCAACGCTGATAAATTTACTTGGTGTCGATCCTCTTGTGGCCTATCAGAGACGTAAGCAACATGATGGTACAAGGTAGAAAGAATGGTGTGAAGATATGATTGTTCCAATCAAATCTTCAAGTGGGAGATTGTTGAAAATTCTTTTTAATTCCACTGAAAGATGGCATAGATTTGGGGCACTGAAAGTAGCTATTTTTGTCAAAAAGTGGCACCAAATTGTTGAAATAATAAAAGGAAAATTATAAACTTTAGTCATTAAACTTTAGGGTATTTATAAGATTAGTCCTTAAGCTTCAACTATAAATACCCTAGCTCATTTAGCTTCAAAACCATCCC